CAAAATGACACTGAAATCTGTCCTTTTCTGCTAGAAAAAATTTTACCTGCGAAAACTTACAAGTAAAAAAGTCTTCTGACCACAAACATGTGTTTGTAAATAAACAAAAGAAAGGAATAAAAGTTTAGTTTAGTTAATTTATTTTTAATCTCTAATTTTCTAATTTCCGGGCGTCAACTATGGCTGCCGTATACAATTCTTCAATTGTACCATATTTTTCCCAGAAATATACCAAAATAGAAAATAATGCTGAAAGGTTCTGACGAAATTTGTCAGTTGATCGTTAAAACGAAAATGAGATAATTTTAATGGCACATTTGTAGCTATATCTACTTAATTTTTGTGAAACAAGGAAGGGTGCTTAGAGGAGATTCTTTTATTTTTGAACGCGTCATAATGTGGCATCAAAAATATTTGTAAGAAAAAAACTTATTCATTCCGAGATAATTCATTTATATGTTAAAAACATTTTTCTTATACAAAAGTATTCAATAGTAAAAAAAATCCAAATAGGGGACAATGCAACAAGCGGATAATAAATTGCCAAATGAACCACCTATTGCAACTGTGAAAGTTATCAGCTGTTTCGAAGATTACAAGGTTTTGCAAATTTTGCAAATTGCTCAGAATTTTTGCTGCTGGATCATTTTGTGTGGAGAATACAAAAATACTCCTACCAAATTTACCTATCAAAAAGTCAGAATGGCGTAAGTTGCACGTTTTTTCTTGTTTTGCGTTCAATAACTTTTTCTGATATTTTAGTCTTCCCCTCAATTTTACTCGCTATGATTATTTTATTCTCTGGCTGCTAGTACTTACTGGAAAATTTTATGAATAGACCTATTATGACTGCAACTTTTTTTTTTTTTTTGATCTAAGTAAGAGTTTCGTTTTTATGCACAAAAATTCAAAACTCCAAGTAAATAGAGTGTGGTATTTCGACGTAATTGAGCATTCCCACGACAACCGGTTCTACGTACCGGAATGACTCGGGTTTTACCCGACCAAGGGCTGTTGCTTCGGCGATCTAACCCCGTTTAGGTCGGCGAAATCCATCAAACGTTGCTCGATCCTAGGGCTACACCTTCTCCGCACCCTTCTGCTCAGGGCTGGCATAGAGTCAAACCCAGGGCCAGAAATCTACACCTGTTGCGTATGCTAGAGACGACTGCATACAAACTCCACCTCGGTTAGGTGTAATGCCTGTGACGGGTGGAGTCACCTCCGTAACTGCTCGGGCCTGCGTACGCACCGGCAATGGACCACGTCGTTCGTGGCCCCATGCTGTGCGAACCGGACCGCCTCCACGGCAAACAACCACCCGCCTGGGCAGCACACAATCAACACACCCACACCCCAACACAACACAACAATAGACACACAAACAAACACAATAGCGCCCACACACCGCCGCCGGCAACTCCTAGTCCCTCCGACAATCTGCTCTGTTTGTCAGTCCAGAATATACATGACATCAGTCAAGTGCAACTCTAGCCTCGGCTGGTGCCACTTTAGGGCGTGCTCAGGACTTCGCAACACACGAGATTGGACGAGTGACTATGTGGGACCCTGCTGTGCTGCCCCGTCGCATCCTTCCCCCGCGACGCCGCCAACCACCACCACAAGGCAGCACCCCCTTTTGCAGCACGTATAGCAGGGGGCCGGCAGGCAACACAACTCTTTAACACCACACATCACAATCGGTCTCCCAAGGCACACAAAGGTGATACAATTTAACTGTAACGGACTCCAGAGCAAGATCGAGGAGATAACTGTCTTCATGGGAAGGCATGGAATATTAATAGCTGCGGTCCAAGAGACGAAGTTGCACGGCAACTCAAGCATGTTGAATTGCGCTGGATACAACGTGCACCGTCGAGATCGCGAGCGAGATAATCGTGGAGGTTTAGCGTTCATCACGCACCACACCGTGCAGTATCGTCTCATTGAAGCAGACATCGACCGCAGGGATACCATCCTAGAATGTCAGGGTATTGCTATCCGGTCAGGCGATGTTGAGCTCGAAATATTTAACGTATACATACCCCCTGTCACCAGCTGCCCGGCAGGATATCACCCTGAAATAGGTGCGCTACTCAGAGGTGAAAACCGTATGGTAGTTGGTGACTTTAACGCGCACCACGATCTCTGGCACTCAAGCCTGTCAAATGATCGTAGGGAAATACATCTGGCAGAGCAGATAGACGATTCGACATTCTGCACAATGAACGACGACACATCCACCAGGATTATGGGCAGCTGCTGCAGCTCGCCAGATCTAACAATTGTCAGCGCTGGTCTGATAAACAGCGTATCATGGCGACCTATGCTGACTGTAGCATCAGACCACCTGCCCATAGTCATCTCGATTGATAAACCTGCCGACTTTGCTTCCATGGATCACCGGAATTATGTCAACTTTTCCAAAGCTGACTGGAAAGGCTTCACGGATTTTACTGAGGGCGCCTTCACTGCACTACCCATACCAACCGACGTTCATGTAGGTGAACGTAAGTTCCGCAGGGTTGTCACCGCTGCTGCAGCTCGCCTCATCCCAGCAGGATGTATTAAGGATCCCCGTCCGAATTTTCCTGCCGAAGCGGCTGTTCTAGCTGATGAGCGCGACAACCTTCGTCAGGCCGATCCCGGAAATCCCCGTATTAGGGATCTCAATTCGGAGATTCGGCAACTTGTGAACGTACATAAGCGGAAGAAATGGGAAGAGCATCTGAAGACCTGCAAATTCGCCTCTGGTGTGAGTAAGCTTTGGTCAACCGTGAGGTCGTTGTCCAACCCGACGAAGCGCGACGACAGAGTCGAGATAGACTTTGGTGACCACGCTTCGTCGGACCCGGAGAGATGCGCGAGCTATTTTAGCCGGCAGTTCATTCTGCAGCCTCCGGTGGATAAAGCCTAACGTCGAGTGACCAGAAGGCTGCACAAAATGCCAAAACCTAGTGCGCCTCTTGTTTTCACCAGCGGTGAGGTAAGGGTAGCCATCGGGAAGTCGAAAGCCTCCAAAGCCATTGGACCCGACGGAATATGCATGTTGATGCTGAAAAATTTGGGTCCTGCGGGAGTAGCGTACCTAACGGAGGTCCTCAACCTGTCAATGGCCACTCTCGTCATTCCAGACATCTGGAAAATGGGGAGAGTGGTCCCACTGCTCAAACCGGGGAAACCAGCCAACAAAGGAGAGTCTTATCGCCCGATAACTCTCCTTTCCCCGGTAGCGAAGACACTCGAGGCCCTGCTGCTCCCGTACTAGTAAAGTGCATAGTAGAACAACAGAACTTAACGCCATATATACTCAGATAACTCGTGGCCTAAACCGAAACCGCCCCTGTGAGAGAACTATTCTAGTAGCGTTGGACCTGTCCAAGGCGTTCAACACTGTCAGTCATTCAACGCTACTAGAAGATATAGGGGCCTCCTCACTCCCACAGGGACTCAAACGGTGGTCGGCGATTTACCTGAGTGGTCGACACTCGTCAGTAATCTTCAGAGACAAAACCAGTAAGCCACGTAAAATTAAACAGGGGGTACCACAGGGTGGTGTCCTGTCCCCGCTACTGTTTAATTCTTACATATCAAAGCTTCCTCAGCCACCAGAGGGTGTTAATATAGTCTCGTATGCTGCCGATTATTCGATCATGGCGTCTGAATTGATGACTTGTGCTCAAAAGTAAACGGTTACCTCTCCGAAATTTCTCGCTTCTTCACTGCAAGGAGCCTTGCCCTATCCCCTGCGAAATCCTCGGCAACCCTTTTCACCACCTGGGCGAAGGAGGTCAGACTGCCACTGGGTATTCACGTCGATGACGTAACAATACCGACGGTGAATAACCCGAAAATCCTCGGAGTTACCTTCGACAGTCTGCTCTCCTTCTCGGCGCATACAACCGCAATTGTCAACAAAGTACAGAGCCGCAACAATGTCCTCAAGTCGCTGGCCGGCAGCACTTGGGGCAAAGATGAAGAAACGTTGTTGGCAACATACAAGGCAATTGGCCGGCCGGTTCTGAACTACGCAGCGCCCGTATGGTCACCGGGGACTAGCAGGACGCAGTGGATGAAGCTGCAGACCTGCCAAAACACGGCATTATGAACTGCGACAGGATCCCTCCTGATGACGCCTCAACACCACCTTCACGACGAGGCCCAGATGCTCCCAGTAAAGGAGCATATTATAATGCTCTGCAAGCAGTTCCTCGCTGGGAGCCACAGACGTGGCCATCCTAGCGGGCAACTGCTCGCGGAAGAGCCCTCACCACGGCACGTCAGGAGGCATCTTTATGAACTGACAGACGAAGTCCAGAGGTATATTAAACAACCTCTGAACCCGTCAACCTACCGACAGGCTCTGAACGATATTCACAGGGAATCAGTCTCAAGTTATGTAGACTCCCGCTCTGTGAATGAAGATCTAGGCACACAACCACCGGACGTGGGCGGGACAGAACTTTGTCTGCTTCGGGAGACCCGCACTACAATAGCCCAACTTCGCTCTGGCTATTGCAGCAGGCTCAACAGCTACCTGAGCAGAATCAACGAGGATGTGCCCAACCAATGCCCGACATTTGGAGAGTCGCCACATGACTCCCGGCACCTCTTCACATGCCCTAAGAATCCCACTCAGCTAACGCCCCTGTCCCTATGGACAGCCCCTCTGGAAGTAGCACAATTCCTGGGCCTCCCCCTAGCTGAAATAGATGACAACGTTGATGGATGAACCGCCCCGAATGGGACTTAGTAGCCGCTACAACAACAACAACAACAACATAATTGAGCTGCAGTACCGTATTTTGACAAAAATGTATCAAAAATGTCAATGTAGTACTAAAGTACTTTTGGCTTCCAAAATGTACCAAAAAAGTACAATTGTACCATCAATTACATCAAATGTTACTATTTCCATAAAAACTTGTTTTGGTATCGTAGTGTGTTCTTTTATTATTGTCCATTTTTCTTGTATTACGTCAAGTGCTAGTTGTATCAGTATGATCGGAAAAAGTGAGACCACATCGAAAGAAATTAGTTTTTCATCGTCACAAATGTAAGTGTTGTTTGTCCTGTGCTTGAAATCCAGCGTATTCTTGATATTATATACCGAGTTTACCGTTATGTTTTTTAAAATATTTACAATATATTTACATAGACCATATGATGGCAATCCAATGGATGAGCAAATGGGTCTAAGCGGTGTTCCTTCTTTGTGTATCTTAGGGGGCCCATAAATTCTTGGAGGTAACGCGGTGGTTGAGGTGAGCTTATTCCGTTCAGCATTTGAAATAATTTCCATTTTAAAAATTATTTTTATTTTGTAGTCTCGATGTGGGATCCTGTCTTTGTATTCTATACGTAATTAAGTCACATAATATATCTGCCATTTTACTGTTGTAGTTATTTATTTCCATTGCTACCGTTTTGTTTCCTTTG